GTCTATTTTCCAGAATGGAAAACCAGTAAAATTTGTTCTGTGTATATAACAAATAATGTGAACTCAACTACGTGGTATTACTTATGTATCTCCCAAACATTAGCCTTCAATTGCATATCTTATCAACAGCAATTAGAAAGGCTATTAAAAAAGCAATTATATTAATTGCTACTATAATAATTCAATAGAATGTAAGAGTCTTTTTTTATTATGGAAGAAACCTGCACTTAGTATAATAAATATTTGTTCACGGAATCGTAGAAAGTATAACAAGCTTTTCACGTTTCCACGGTCACTCACCGTTCTCCACGTTGAGCTCTGAGGGGGCTCTGTACGATACGGGCCTGCCGAAGTCGCTGGCGTCGCTTGGGTGCAGCAACAGCTGATGGGACGCTCTGGAATGATGCCTCGAAGTGGACGACCGATGTAAGTGAACACTGTTTAGGACGGTATTGCTCGAGGCACGGCTCAGTGCCTCCCTTTGGCGCACAGCCTCTTTGTAGATCTTGCAGTACATCACGATCATCACGACACCGGGGATCCAGAAGGAGACCGAGGAACTTATCACCGCATACAGCCGGTTCACCACGAAATTGCACACCTGATTCACATTTTTACTTGGAAAAATCGTGGAAGAGGACGGAGTAATAAATTTTTTAAGTACCACAAATGTCTGTGAGACATGGAGAAATTTAGTTGACAGTTGTTTATGGAAGGGGTAGTACGATAGTAACAATCCATGAAATGGAGGCCATAACGTTTTACAAGAGATTCGGTTCGGATCAAGCAGAGACTTGAAGGTTTTATCCTGTCGTTATTCAACCATACGCTTGAGCCGGATTGCATTATTCAGCTATAAAGGAGGATCGGAATGGTGAATTGTATCCAGCAGTTATTCCGAAGTGATACAAAATTACAAGCTTCGGTTATATTCGATTTATATGGTTACAGTGACAGAAAGTGAAAGGATTGTTCAATCATTGAAAAAGTGGATTGCATTTTTGATTTTGTCATTTATTGTTAGTCATAAAGTAGGACTGGAGATTCTTAAACTTTTTTTTATTCTTTCGAAATTCTTTGTTAGATTTTTTCATCGATAGTAAATTATGCTAAGGACGTTTGTCAGAGATTTTGAAAATGTTGAAAAATTCTGAAAAAATTATATGTTATTCTTGGAATAAAAAAAATGAACTGTTATCTTTTTCAGAATTTTCTACCGTTTTATTATTAAGAAAAATGAATGAGAATATTAGAAATTTAACATGCATTCTTATGGAGACCAAAGTTTATTATAAGAAATAAGTACTTTTTAAATGTACAAATACAAAATAAATGTTATCATCGGATAAATTAACATTTTTTAAATCGTTTAACGAAAGATTGACGAAACTGACCGTTCATTTCTATTCTAAAATTATTAATAAAAACGTAATAAACAGTTTTCGTGTCAGTTGATCGTTAAAATTTCGCAACATCGCTTTCTAGTAAAGCGATGTAAATTTAGCGGTAGGTTTGAACTATCGAATTTTAGATAATGGTACTACGCTACATAATAATTAACGTGGCAAATTGGATAAATGAAATAATGATTACAATTCGATTTATAATTAAGTAATTTTTCGTCCCATTTGTTGAAGATGTTTTATCTTTTTTTTTGCTCGAAAATTTTCCTTTTAATCGTAATTGTGACATTTTGAGGTACGGATTCACAATAAGCAATTTCAATTTGAAAATCTCAATTGCCAACTGTCAAATACTAATTTATCTTAAGTCATGCTGTTGCCAAGTTTCTTTAAGATTTTTACATAATTTCAATGTGAATATTATTAGAAATTTCTTAATAAAAGAAATTATATTTAATCAAAGAATGAATTTTAAATATTTTACTATTCACGTATGTTATCTATTTATGTTTTTAATGTTTTTGAATAGTTGATATGTTAAATATATGATGTTGGTATTACTCGATTTTTACAATGTATAAGAATAGGAGACCCCCACACCGCTTACCCTTCTAAAACCCTAACAAACGTCCTTAAATGTGCAGCTAAATATGAGAAATTTTTCGATATTGATATTTTTTTACCGTTTAACTTGGGACTTTAATTAATCTATCCGAGCATACTTCAAGCTTCACTCGCAGGATCTGCAAGAAAGGTTCGAAAGATCTTTAGTTTTCGACCTCGTTCGTAAGATTTTTCTGCGAACTTGTATAAACTTTCGAGTTCCTTAATTGGACAAGTTCGAAACGGTTCCTTAATATTTCTCCCGTAATCGTCTCGGCAACGCTTCCGCTTTTATTTTTACACCCGTCACGTGCATAGTTACAAAATAAAACTGCATACTGTTTATGGAGGTTCTATCAAGCTCAGCTTTCTGGTAGATGAAAAACGAACCTCTGTTAGCCGAACAATTATTTTAATCAACGCGATCCGGTGGCAAGTAGGCAGGTATAAAAGGTACATACATAAACGTCGGGAGCGTGAGAGAGTTATTGTTCGCAGGACAGAGAAATATTAAAGTCGATGCCACAACAGAATTTCAATTAACAGTACGCCCATTGTGTGGGCCGGTTCATTGTGCTCGTTGCATTATCGGTCTGATCTATATTTTGCTAGGCCATTTTGCTCCCATTTCTCGACGATATTTTGTAGTGGAAGCCCGATTGATCAGGATCTTATTAACTGTGATCCCAATTATCGGGAAAAAGCTTGGCTCCAGCCTCGTAATTTTTGTTTGCAATTTCTATAATTTCTGCAGCCAGCGTTAAACCAAAGATTTGTCTTATTATCCTTTATAAGAGAATTAGTATTTAGGTGAAGGTTACGAAGGCTGAGAATAAAATTGTAATTTAAGCTACATTACCTAAATAAAGGAATTGTTCGTGAGGGAAAGAAGTTAATAACGAGATGAACGAAATTAAAAATAGACGTTCTATAAGAAGGAAAATAGGAGAAGCGTAAAAAAAAAGAAAGAATGAACGTTATGAGAATTAAAAACACGATGGAAGCGAGGTAATAATAACGGCAAGAAGATATTCAAACTAGAAAGTGGACGGAAAATTCTAAGGGAACGGAAATGTGAAAATATAACAGAGAAACGTAAGTACGTATTGCCAATAAACGTTGAATATGGAAAAACGAGGTGACATAAAGAGGGCAAAAGTCATAGTAAAAATAGCACTAATGAATTTGATGAAGAATATCACTGCAGTTTTTAATTACAACAGCCAAATCGATTGATGAAGATAATAAATCAGAGCTAGTGAAAAAATTAAAGAATAGAAAGACGCCTACGGATCTGTTTATTGTTCAGAACAGTTAGCGATGTTGGAGGAACACGGCGTGGAAACTCTCGACCCGGAAAAGCAATAAATTTCCCGGCACGTTCCTTCGGTCGGCGTTTTCGTCCGGGCTGCAATTTCGCGTGGTAAAATTATAATAATGCGCGCACACCCCGCCGACGTGCTACGTGCACGCGCATGTACGTAGGTTACTTAAACCTGTGTGAACGCGGCACGGCGCGCAGCGTCTGAACAAAGTTTCTAAGTGGTCGAATGCCGCGAGATGAGAGGCTATAAAACAACGGGATATGATTTCGGGTATAATAAGCGACCGTGGCTGTGTTTGGAAACTGCTACACTGGCTGCGTTTGTACAAGAGGCATTGTCGTATCCGAAGAAGATGTTCTCCGGCCTATTCGTGCCTCGAGCACAATTCAGAAGGCTTCATATTCATTATAATGTCGTGCTTTTCATTTCGGATTTTCTCACGTCGATTTCCACATTTCCTCGAATCTTCATTATTCGTACTGAATAGTAATCACGACATTGTTTATACAGTTTCATATTACCAAACATTAAGGAAATGAAAACTTGATATTATCAAAGAATAGAGATTATAATAAACTTTTTTTTATATATTTTATGCATGATCTATTCATATATTCTTCCTCTCTGACGTAAAGCAATTTTATTATAAATAGATAGACAGATAGGCTGACGATAAAGCAAAGATCAGCGAATAATCCACTGGTGATGAAGAGTACAACGACGAATTGCAACTGGGAATAGATTTATACGAAAATTTAGAAACGGCCGGATTAGGGGAGGTGTATGCGGAATTATCGTGGCTATTAATTCGGAGTTTCCGTTTACACCGCGCCTGGAATAAGAGACCGTGGTAGTAAATCATCTCTATGCAAATTTCGAAGGCCGTTCATCTTACCGTTCCCTCGCTTCCCTCGCGTTATACCGGTGTATGCCACCACCCGCGTCCTCAATTCGACTTTCCGCAGATTGAAATTCTATCTTCAGACGGCGACAAGTGCTCGGGTGTAAATACACCCGATAAAATATTCTATTAACCGTCAACGAGAGAAAATTCAACGCCGTTTATCGAACGTACCACTCCTGCAAGATTTAACGCGGGAAATGTAGTTCGTCGTCACGAAGTTTTCCAGCCGTGAACATTTCATAGTCTCGAATTTTTTATTATGTTATAACAGAAATTTTTTGTCTATAAAATAAATTTGACAAGCGTTTAATATTAACGATTGCCAGACTTCCAATTATAACAAATCATGTACTTGTAATAATCTTAATGTATTAGAGTTATGATCGTACAG